TTCTTCTGTTTTATGGCTATTTGCCTTAAGAACTTATTTTAGATTCTTATTGAATTCATAATACTTACCTCTGAAAACGTCTTTGACTGTAAATTTAGGAATTAAAGTGCAAAGTGTCATGTGTCCTCTGATCTACAGTTGCATGGTTGGTCTGAAAATAGAGTTGGGCTTAATGTTGACTACTCATATTCTTGCATGAAACAGTTGTTATGAATACTATAAATCATTTTTATTAGTAAAATTTTACACTTATATAAAATACAGACCATGATATATAGGCAATGTTTAACAAATTGCCTGAATAATATAAAAAAATTTTGAGGGGTCAGGCATGGTGGCTCATGCCAGTAATCCCAACACTTTGGGAGGCTGACGCCGGGTGGATCACCTGAGGTTGGGAGTTTGAGATCAGCCTGATCAACATGGAGAAACCCCATCTCTATTAAAAATACAAAATTAACCAGGCATGGTGGTGCATGTCTGTAGTCCCAGCTACTCTGGAGGCTGAAGCAAGAGAATCGCTTGAGCCTGGGAGGCAGAAGTTGCAGTGAGCCGAGATTATGCCATTGCACTCCAGCCTGATGATGGAAAATTTTCTTTCTGGTATGAAGTCTTGCTATGTTGCCCAATATGGTCTCAAACTCCTGGGCTCAAGCAGTCCTCTCACCTCTGCCTCGCAAAGCACTGGAATTATAGACAGGAGCCACTGTGTCTGGCCAAAATGGTGATTTTCCAATTCTACCATTTCTTCCATATTTTAGGTGCCATTCTGCTGCAAGGATGAACAATTCCTTCCGTCCTTCCTTCCTTTTTTCCTTTTATCTGTATTATACTTAGGGATTCAGGTTGTATTCAGTGGGCTATAATTCATTTCTACTTATTGTGTTGCTCACACGATTCCAGATCTGCTGATAAAGTTCTATAATTTTTTAGAACTTTCTTACTTTTATCTTTTCTGTTTTTGAGACAGGGTCTTTTTTTCTTTTTAGAGGTGGGGTTTTACTATGTTGGCCAGGCTGATCTCGAACTCCTGACCTCAAGTGATCCACCCACCTCTGCCTCCCAAAATGCTGGGATTGCAGGCGTGAGCCACTGCACCTGGCCCTGAGACAGGGTCTTTCTCCACTTCCTAGGCTGGAGTGCAGTGGTGCTATCACAGCTTATTGCAGCCCTGACCCCACAGGCTCAAGGGGGCTCAAGTGTTCCTCCTACCTCACCCTTCCTAGTGGCTGAAACTACAAGCATGCAACACCACACCTGGCTACTTTTTGTATATTTTTTTGTAAAGTTAGGTTTTGCCATGCATGTTGCCCAGGTTGGTCTCAAACTCCTGGGCTCATGCAATCTGTCTGCCTCAGCCTCCCAAAGTGGTGGGATTACAGGTGTGAGCCACCACATCTGGCCAGACTTCCTTACTTTCTGAAACAATAAAATACTCTAGGTTCATTTTGCACTTTTTCTGTCTGACGTCTGAGCTCAGCCATTTCTCTGGGGGGCTCTGCTTTTTTCAGCAGAGAATATTTAGTAGCCCTGCTCCAGGCACTAGATGTGCCCATTGTCACTGGAGTATGTATGTATGTGTGTGTGTGTGTGTAATAGACACATAAATATGGTTATGCATATTAAAATGGAAACATAGGGCCAGTCGTGGTGGCTCATGCCTGTAATCCCAGCACTTTGGGAGGCCGAGGCAGGTGCATCACTTGAGGTCAGGAGTTCAAAACCAGCCTGGCCAACATGGTGAAACCCTGTCATCTACTAAAAATACAAAAAAATTAGCCAGGCATGGTGGTGCATGCCTGTAATCCCAGCTACTCAAGAGAGGCTCAGGCAGGAGAATCGCTTGAACCCAGGAAGTGGAGGCTGCAGTGAGCTTAGATTGCTCTCCACTGCACTCCAGTTTGGGCAAGACTCTGTTTCAAAACAAAACAAAATAGGAAAAAACCCACACACAAAAAGCAAAACCAAAGCAAACACCCAAACAAAATAGGCAGGAAGAGGGAAAGAGTTGAAAGAAAAAGAGAGAATAATGGAATTGTTAGAGCTGGGAGTGACCTCTGGAATACAGGACTAGGTTAGGTACTACTGAAGCTCCCATTTCAGAAAAAAACGTGTATTTGTGAGATTTTATTCTTTTTTAATTAAGAAGACTCTTCCAATATGCATAAACCTCATTGACCCAAAATCTGGATCTGCATCGTTCCAGGTCAGCTCTTCATTTGGAAGGAGGAAAGCCATGTGGAGGTTGAAAAGATTAGCTGAAAGAGAGCTACTTACAGGAGCCCCAGCACACGAGGGACTCTGAAAGGCTGTGACCCAGTCTCACTTCTGGAAGAGGGGCTAGACCTTCCTCAGGAAAATGTCCCTATTCCTTTTTCTTTTTTTCTTTTTTTTGAGACTGAGCCATGCTCTGTTGCCAAGGATGGAATGCAGTGGTGGCCCAATCTCAGCTTACTATAACCGCCACCATCCTGGCTCAAGTGATTCTCCTGCCTCAGCCTCCTGAGTAGCTGGGATTGCAGATCCCTGCCGCCACACTAGGCTATTTTTTGTATTTTTAGTAGAGACAGGACTTAACTGTGTTGGCCAGGCTGATCTCAAATTCCTGACTTCAAGTGATCGTCCTTCTCTGCTTCCCAAAGAGCTGGGATTACAGACATGAGTAACTTCACTCCACCAGCTACTTCTTTCTTCCACCACTTTACTTACTTGTACAGGAGGCCTAAGCCTGCTTCTGTGTGAGCTTCCAGCTTGTGTTTTCCCTGAAGGGATTGGGAAGCTGCCATAAGCACCCCCATTAGCAGTTGGCAGACCCCCAACAAGGCCACTTTTTGACCTGGACTGGCTTAGCCCTGATAGCTCAAGGCCTGCTGTGTTGCTTGCCATGAGTGGTGGCTGCACCTGCCAGACCGTTCACTCCCCATCCAGCTCCATGTGAGTGTACCCTGGCCCCAACTGGAACCCTGGATGTCTCACACTGTAAGCCTGTGAAGACCAGCTCCAAGAACCAGTGCTCCTAATCATGGCAGTTTTGCTTTCTGGCACTTACCAAAGTGCAATGCTGTGGGAGAGTAAAACTCATAGTCCAGCCAGAAAACAGCCATTGTAGGCCCCTGCTATGAGTGGACGTTCCCTGGGAAGCAAAGCCTAAGTAGAATGATGATCACACAGAGACCTTTAACTGAGCATGGACTCCGAGCCAGGGACTGGCTCTGTCATCAAAGAGAGATTACACACATGATCTCTCTTCATACAGCAACCCATTTAGATTGGGGTGGGGTCTTTTTTATAGATCAGCTTTGTGAGGCGAAATATCCAGGATAAGACCATAAAGGTGTTAAGTGGCACAGCTGGGGCAGCGGCCCCAGAGCTCCTCCTGCCTTCACCACCATGCCTGCTTTCCAAAGGTTGTATGTTCAGGAGAGGTGGAAATGGTGCAGGTTCTAAATTGTACATCTACCAGGGATTGGCTGTGCAGACTCCACGGAATTGGAAAAGGCAGATTTGGCTGAAACTGACCCTCATTCAAGAGGTGGATTTAGAGACAGGCCTGACTAAGCCCTGCAGCTCCACTGCACACACTCCCTCACACTGCATGGTGTTGCCATGCTGCAAGCCGTTACCTAGGGAAGATGAGCCCACAGCAACCCTTCAAAGGCCATGAAATCAGGGAGGGCACAGGCCACCCAAAAGGTGTGGAGGCCAACAGGCCAGGCGGGCTTCCTGCTTTCCTTTAATGGGGCTGGGAATGGAATGTCTCCATTTTTGGTGAACCTCAGATTGTTTTTGAGCCCCAACTGCTATAGTCATTTCTTTCTCCCTTGAATCCCCAAAGGCAGCACTCTACCTTCTGCCTTCCAGAGCTGTTGTATGGACATCTGGCCGAAGCCATGGATGAGTCCTGGGGTGAGCTGCTGTGCTCTTTCTTCTGAGCCTGTCTATGGAGGGTTACTGACTGCTTTTCTTCCTTGGTGTCTCTGTCTACTGTGACAGGCTGTAACCCTCACCATCATCCCTTTGGAGCCTTTGTTTTCATCCAGGTGCCCACACCTCTAAATATCCCTTTATTTTCCTCTCTGCTAGACACATCTTCCTATTATGTCCCATTCTGCTTATAAAACCTTTGCAAAGCCCACTGGGTGGATACCACTAGCCTCTCCTCCTAGGCAGGTGTTTTCAGGGAACTTCTCCATCAGCTGGGTCATCCCTGAGATGGCTCTGACCCCAGTGCTGGGAACACGGATATTTAGGACTGTAGGTCTGGGGCTGCTGCCCTGGCCCTTTTTGCCAACATGGCCTGCCTCATTCACCGGTGTTCAGTGCCTTAGGGAGAGGCGGATGGGCCCGTGGGAAGGGCACTGGATGAAGGGTGGAGGGAAACTGCCCTTTGCCTACATCAGAGCTGGGAAGGCCAGGTGCAAAGCCCGCCCTGTTGCCTGAGTCCATGGCTTGGGGACACCGAAGCCATCTAGGCACTAGCGCCCTGGAGTGCAGCCAGTGGAACTCCCAGTGACTTCCTTAGGAGTCCGCGCTCCCTCAGAGTCCCCGGCGGGTCGCCTCGCTCGGGCGGCCGCCTGCTCCTCCTCCGCTTCCTCCAGGCCATAGGGCTCCCCACCAGACTCCAACGCTGGGCACCTCTGCCCCTTTTCCTGCTGATCCAGCGTGCCACTCTTTCCCCTCCTCTGGCCTCGCCGCCTCCTCTCCCCCTCGAATCCAGTCCTGGTTTCCCCACTGCCAGCCTCTCTCCCTCCTGGTGGGCTCTCTTTCCACCCCGCCCGCAGTTACCGCGGTCTGCTGGGCTCCGTGCCTGCCTCTGCTCCCACCTGGCTTGGCCCGGCTCACCCAGTCCAGTGGCTCCAGTCCGGATCTCGCCACACCTGGCCCACGCGCTAGTCCCCACCACTGGAGAGGCGGTGGGACCGGCTCCCCTTGGCTGCCTTGCCCGCCTGGGGTTGGCGGGAAGGGAGCAGCTCGGTGGCCCCAGAGCCTCTCGGAAGACAATGCGCCCAACGCTGGGCCACCCTCGCTCGGTCTCCTCTGTGCCCGGCGCCTTCCCACCACCCACCACCACCGCCTGGCTGCAGCCGCTCTTCCTCCGCGGGGACTCCTTCTGCGGCCGGAGAGGCTCGGGCGATGGTAATACCAGGACCAGCACTAGCCGCGGGGAAGGCGGCAGCAGACACAGCGGGGGCGGCGGCTCCCCGAGCAGCAGCACGGGCGCCGATCGCGAGGACGGCGATGAAAGCCTGAGTGTCAGCAAGCTGCTGGTGCCCAACGCAGCACTCCCGGGGCTGCCGGTGCAGGGGGGCGCCCCTGCCGGCTCCGCGCCCGCCGCCTTCTTCTCCTTTGCCGACACCTCGTCCTCCAGCTCCATGCCCACCTCCTCCTGCAGCATGACCGCCGCTGACTTCGGCGGGGGCGCCGCGACCGGATCCGTCAAGGGCCCTGGGAGCCTCTCAGCAGGGGAAGCACGCGGCGGCGGGGCGGGCAGCGGTGCCTCCTGCTGTTCGTGTTGCTGCTGCTGTGCCCCCCGTCCCGGGTGCCTCTGGGGCTACCAGGCACTGTCCCTGGTGCTGCTGCTGGTGCAGGGCAGCCTACTGGACCTGTACTTCATCGCCATCACCGACCTGAACTGGTGCTCCTGGATCGCCACGGCCCTGGTGGTGGTGGTGGGCTGGGCCATCTTCTTCGCCAAGAACAGCCGGGGACGTTGGGGTGGTGCGCACCACCCACGCTACCCGCACCACCACCATGCTGCACTGCCCCTAAACCTGCCCGCCCCCTTGACCACCTCCATTGGGGCCAAGGTGTGCAGATTCCCGGGGGCGGCCATGGCAGCGGGCGAGTTTGCCTTCACCTACCTGGCCTGGCTTATCTATTCCATAGCCTTCACACCCAAGGTGGTGCTGATCCTGGGCACGTCCATGCTAGACCTCATGGAGCTGAGTGTGCCCTTTGGCATCACGGGCTTCCGCCTCACCATAGCGCTGTCTGTGCCCCTGCTCTACAGCCTGGCGCGGGTCATCAGTGAGGTGGGCACACCCTGTGGCTCAGCCAGACCACTGCCGCTGCAGCCCCAGCAGCACTGCACAGCCAGGTGCTTCCTGGGCACGTGCCTGGACCTGGTCGACAGCTTCACGTTGCTGGAGCTGATGCTGGAGGGCCCCGCGCAGCTGCGCATACACCTGTGCCACCTGCTCATCACCGTCTACTTCCTCACCCTCACCTCACCGGTGCTATGGCTCTATGAGCTTAACGCTGCCACCAAGGTGGCGGTGGCATCCAGGGGCCAGGCCTCCAGCCCAGCAGCTGCTGCCGCCTTCTGTGCCTCCTGGGCAGCTGCCTGGTGGACGTGCCCTTGCTGGTGTTGTGCTGCCTGCTGGTGGTCAGCTACCAGAAGCCCCTCTACATCTTCATGCTCAAGAACTTCTTCTTCCTTGGCTGCCGCTGCCTGGAGGTGCTGAAGGGCTGCTGGGACAGGGACAGTCGGTCCTTCCCGAGTCGGGCCAGAGGGGGCTATGGTGCTCCACCCTCCACCCCTACATGGCCTCCGCCACCACCTCAGGGAGGTTCCCAGCTGGGCCACTGCATTTCGGAGAATGACGAGGGTGCCCATGGCTATGTCAACACCCTGGCTGTGATCTCCCAGAATTGAGGGTGAAGAGCATGGGTCCCTGGTTTTGGGTTGACAGTCCCCAACTCTCTTATCTTCTACCTTCTGTCACCCAGATTTGCTCAGCCTCTGTTTGGAAGAGGTAACCCTTTATAGGGCTGAGGGGCCAGGGGGTCCTTCTGCACCCCTGGGGTGAGGACCTCTTGGAGGGAGACCAGCAGTTAATGGTGAGGGAGGTAGGCGCACTTACACTCTTTCTTCTAACCTACTCCAATCCTGACCTCCAAGGGGCTGGTAGCTCTGCTTCTTTCTTTGCCCACCTCCATTCTAATTGCCATCCATCAGGAGGAGAGGGGTGCTCGGCCTTGAGTCTTTTTCCTGGCTTAAAAGTGCCAGCCTCTTTTAGGCTGTGGTTGGTGGCCATTGTCCCATGCCTTGACGTTGACCCAGAACCTACTTTCCACTGATGCGTCTATTTTATTTCTCCTGGGTGATAGATGCAAAGTGTATGTCTCTGTGTGTGTGTGTAGTGTTGTTTTTTGAATCCACCCTGTGACACTTTGCAATGGGTAGGAGATCTGGGGAGGCCCTGCCCCTACACCTTACTTACCACCACCCTCCTCTTTTCTGCCTGGATTTGTTACCATAAATTCCCAAAAAGAGCGGGGCCCCTGGGAGCTGCCCAGGTACTCCCTTCTAAGGGAGACACTCACCCAGGATCTTCCTCAATCCTGCTTCTCTCTTCTTCACTCAGAGGGAGGAGGAAATCTATTCTCTAAGGACCAAACTGCACCCTTTCTTGGGTGAGTGAGCATTTCTACCTCCGCGCTTTCAACTTTTGTTGCATCATGCACTGATGCTGCTTGCAAAAAATAAGACAAAATACTCAGAAGTTGCATTCGCCATGTCCACCAGCTTCAGCTGGGGTTGGGTGCCAGTGTTATTACAGGATCTGTGGAGTAACAGCCATTGGCTTGGCCTCCCTCTCTTCTTCCCTCTGCACCTAGAACTCTTATCCTTCCTGTGGTTTGGTGCCAACTAGGTCAGATCTGGGCTTAGAGTAATAGCTTTGGTGAGGTTCCTAGATTGACATGAAGTTGGCCCTCCCATAGGCCCAGGAGACCAGGGAGCCCCATTCCCCACCTGTTCTTCCTCTAGAAAGTGTAGATCAGAAAGTGAGGTGGTGACCTCCTCCCTCTGGTCTGGTCGAATCTCACTAGGGACAAGGCAGCCTGCAGGGCTTTCCCTCCTGGATTTTTCTCATTGAGGGTGATGACAAGAGACATCTTGGGGCTGTACATTCAGAGTCTTGGTGTGGAATACTACTCTTGCAATCTTTGAGGCAGGATAATTATTTTTACAAATTTTAAGGATGCAGGAGCACAGCAGGGAACAAGGCCAGGAAATACTTCCTTCCACGCTCAACAGGATGCAGTGGGGGTGAAGCTTGCAGAATGTTTTTTTTAAAATGGGGTTTCACCATGTTGGTCAGGCTGGTCTTGAACTCCCAACCTCAGGTGATCCATCAGCCTTGGTCTCCAAAGTGCTTGGTTTACAGGGGTGAGCCACCACGCCCGGCTGTTTGCAGAATTTTTATTTCCCCTTCTCCCTTCTTATGTTTGGGAAGTTTTATGTGGTGTAATAAACCCTAGGCGAGTTACCAGAAGACATTGATTCTAGTTCTGATTGTGTCATTCACTGGCCTTGAGTGACATATTGTTTTTATTTTCTAGGCTTGTTTTCTCATATTAAAAAAGTAGAAGTTAGATGAGTGCTCTTTAAGTTTGAAGGTAATTTCAACTCTCAGTTTTTAAGTTTGTGGCTCTTGAAAACCCTGGTCCTGATCCTCCCTGTACAGGTGGCCAGGAGAGAAGCCAGCCAGGCTGCACCAGCAGAACATTCCCCGCTCTGCACCAGGTGGGTGAAGCTCCAGAAGAAGCCAGAGGGAAAGCTTGGGCTCCTGGGCTAGGTGTGGGGCAGGACTGGCACAGCTGAAGTGTCCACAGCACCCCCCACAGAGAGGGCCAGAAGTGCCAAGTCACTGGACATGAACTCAGCACCCAGGTCAAGCCCCTGCCTCCCACTTGAAGCTCCCCTCCCAACTGCTTGGGGGCTTGGGAAAGAGACACCCACATAGACAGACATAAAAGGGACTGAGGCTCAAAGTTCTCTTGAGCCTCCTAATGCTTTCAGAGCAGGGAAGGGTGGGGGGAAATGTTTACACTTCATCCACGATTTGTGCTTTCAGTTTCTCACCCTATGTGGCCCCAAAGCTGCCTGGGTTTCATATTTATTTTTTCTGCCTTCTTCTTCCACCCCCACTGATGTCTCTCCCCTCACTTTCATTGGACTTCAGCTTCTGGGGCCTGGGCCCTGGGTGGCTACCAACATCTGATCCTTGTTCCCATGTCCTCTCTCCAGCTTTGCTGTTTCTCTGCTACCTAATTTCAGTGACTGTGAAAGGACATTGTGTCTGAGTCATGGCTGGCCACTGGCCGGCCCCATGACCTCCCCCTTTCTGTTGTTTAAATGGCCATCTCCTGCCTGGTCTCCCTGGTTGTAAAATCTGTGCACTGTTAGGTTTTGGTGGGAGGTTGTGATAAGTTCCAATGAGTTGCCACTTCCCTGGAGATGTGAAGAGCTTGATGGCAACTACCCCAATTCTGGTAGAGATCAGGCGCCCAACTCAGTTCCAGTCACTCTGTTTTAAACATGTGGGTAGAGCACTGTGTGCTCAGAGTGTCAGGCCCTTGCACCCACCTCCCTTGCTCCATTCATCATGACCCCTGAAGCTTCCTTTGCCTTGCTTTCTAGTGCCTCCTTGATGCAGGGGCAAATCTGGGATTTCCCCATGGGCTTGACAGCCAAGGAGGTTCCCTGTCTCCCAAGGGCAATGCCAGCCCATACATAGTTCACAGAAGAGGACCCTGAGCTCAGAATCTTGAGAATTGCCTGTTCTTAATGTTTCTGCCAGTCAGAGGGTTCCTCTCTAAGTTCCCAAATCCTTACTTATTTAAAAAAGACTAGACCCTCTCTAAAAACTGTTCCATTTTAACATGCCCTGATTCTGTATCTGTGGGTTTGTGAGCCAGCTAGCTGGTGGTGAGAGCCTGGAGGAAGGAGGGAAGTGGCACCTCACTAGCAATCACTTTTTTCCTTCTCTTTTTAAAAATAAAACCAGACTGTTCTGAAAATAAAAAACTTGAGACTTGTGACAAGCTTCCTGTGTGGTTTAACATTTTTTCTGTCTTGGTTTTCTTACAAAGTTTTTAAATGTAACTGTGACATTTGCCATTATTTTATAGGTTTGTGTTAACATTATGGGAACACCATGGCCCTTTCCTTCTAGGCAGTGGCATGTGGCTCAGGGGGCCAGTAAGGCTGTGGCCTGGGGCAGGTGAGTATCTGACAGAGTTTGTCAGCACAGCCAGCTCAGCTTTAATGGAGTCAGCCTGAGAACGATTTTCCCCATCACCCTGGCCTCTTTCTCTCACTTTTCTTTCTTTCCTTCCTTCTTTCTTTTTCTTTTTTTCTGAGCTACGGTCTCAGTCAACCAGGCTGGAGTACAGTGATGCCATCATAGTTCACTGCAGCCTCAAAATCCTGTGCTCAAGCAATCCTCCTGCCTCAGCCTCTCAAGTAGCTGGGACTACAGGTGTGTGCCACCACACCCAGCTTCCCATTTATTTCTAAGAGTAGCTTTCCAAAGGGGAACATCTTGAGAAACTAATTTTTAAATACTTTGCCTTCGTCTATCACTATTGTCCCATCCAGAAGCACAGATTCTTATATATGAATAAGAAAAACAAGGCCATGGGTTTTTATTTGGCTTTATTTTAACATGAAGGATAGTATTAAGTCTAAAGAAGAAGGTCGGGGCTGCATCCAAATAAACACATTGTGGTTTTCTTAGTACACAGGCAGGCAGTATTATACAGATCCTAGCTTGCTGCTTCTGGCTGTGCCAAAGGCGATGCAAAAAGTTGACTCAGGAGAGCCCAGAAGGCAAGAGTAGATGCTCCTGGGAGCCTGAAAACTCCTCTCTGCTTCTCGTGAGCTGTGGCTTTACTTATCATCTGGCCTCCTGGAACTTCATTATTTATAAAACAGGAGCAACCACAGAATACATAGAAAAAGGTCCTTTCCCCTATGACATGTATAACTGCAACATGGAACACAATGTACATACAAAATCATTACAGAACAACATAGAAACATATCTTCATTTCTCCCTGGAGTGGATGTAAAATAAGGTGATTGCTTTGACAAAGCATGTTATGAATATTTAGAAACATCTGCTAGGAAAGTAAGCCATCCCTGACCGATTTTGGTTTGCCAGGCATATCAGAAGTCGATTTGTGACAGGTGGAGAAGGGGGGCAGTGATTTGTTCATGTGTAGGGAAGGCCAACCTCACCCCACACCTGGGCCTTGAGGCGTATGCCTGAGCAGTGGCCCTAAGGAAGAACAAAAGAACACAGTCCATGGTCGACTGTAGGGCCCTTTGCACATCAGCCTCGTCCCTCCTCACAGCCACCTTCAGGGCTGCCTTCTATTTTCCTGAGGCCCCGAGAAGGGAGGTGGCTTGCACAATGTGGCACTGCAGTCAGGAGAAGCCAGTGCACACTCCTACTTCTGCACTCCAGGCAGCCTGCAGTGACCAGTGGGTGCTTGAGCCCAGCTTCCTTTCCATGAAAGCTCAGCCATTCTAGCAAAAAAGCAGGGGCTGATTTCACCTTCTGTGACTATCCCATGGAACTGGTGGGCAGAGGCGGCCAGTGGGACACCCATGCCAGGGAGCAGACAAGCACAGGGGCCAGTCACCTGCACACTTCCTTTCCACTTCCTCTCCTCCTGCTACCCGTCACCATGTACCTTCTTTTTGTCTCATAATAGAGGAAATATCCTGTGAGAAAACTCATCCTACAGTCAATAGCCTAAGGGGTTATTCCTCCTGGGAAGGACTCCAGGGGGGAGGTGGGCTGGGCCAGGCTTCCTGGCACCCTTGAAACCAGGAGACAGGAGACTGTGTGTTCCTCTCAC